TCTACTTCTACATCCTGTAATGATTCTAATTATATTCTTTTGTATTTTAAAAATTATTACACTATGTGAAGAGTTCCCCCAAAATATTAATCCATAGTTCATAATAGAATGAAAGTAGGCATGGTAAACCATCTTCAATGTTTCAATGTTTAATAAAGCTGTCAGAATAAACAGACTAAAGAGCAAAGAAATGATATATTGTTGTGTGTCATCTGAATTTCCCCTTCTTATTATTATAATTTCTTGTATTATGTTACTGTTTTGGCTTGTGCCAACAGAAGTGTCATGTCAGGATTACTTTCAGAAGTCACTCTAATTAATGTCACCAATTTGTTTGTGAAGGTAAATAATTTACCAGGTGGACTATGTCACATTCTTTTGAAGGATCTTGAAAACTACATTCGAAATCATCCAGAAGCTCGTCTAGCCAAGATCCAGGAAATTGGGCGCCATCTTGTCGATGACAGGATCATGCCTCAGATAGTTCAGTCAGATGTGGAGGCTATTACTTCCAGGTGGAGCCATATGAGTCAACAGGTAGGAGAAATTACTTACTTACTTGCTTCATAAGTTGGCATGGTGAATTGTAAGTATAATTAACTTGTAATGCTTTGATAACTTTGCATTAACCCATGTGCTTACCAGTTTGTTTTGACTGTTATACTTTTGGACATAGAGTGCGCCTAGTATGACAGTGGACTCTCATTCAGGGAGTTTTGAGTTTGATTCCCAGTTAGATCTGTGTGCAGGTTTCTTGTTCACAGAATGAAACCTTTATCAAAGACAGAATTTTGGAAATGTGAAGAATGCAAGGCCTGCCACTTTTCATATCTGATGATAGTTTGTAGGTCCCATCTACTGATCATTGTTATAATTATCACTTTGTCACTGGGGATTACAGAATCTGTCCCAAGGGTGTCCCAGTGTCAGAAATGGATTTTATGACCTTGCCTAGGTGGACACAGTCAAGCAACGTGTTAAACATGATACGAAACGGAAGTAAAGTTTGCACAGATGAAACTTTGTGGGGCTTAAGTGATGGCACAGCTCTGGAGTTCAGTAAATGCTGACATGAAAGATGCATTACAATGATTCATACATGTTTATATGCATACAGCATGGCCAGCACTGCTGACTGCATATAGATAATGGTGTTCCTGCTCCACATTCTGCTAATAGAGGCAACCTGAAGACTTCTCATGAGTGATGGTTAACCATTTGTGCAGGAATGTTGTGTCACTTTTGTGACAAATAATGATACTTCATTCTTGGCAGTGACCCATTTCAGGTATCCCTGAGATTAGTTTTTCACTTGTCATTCACAGATGGCAAGGATGTACCTTTTCTCTACAATTAATCTTCCTTTGATTTTTCAAGAAAATGGCAGGAAAAAGAAATCTGTAATTCAAATTTTAAATGCTACTTCATATGTAGCAGAAGTTTATTTGAATGCTCACACATGGGGTTAATTTTGGTGTGGAAATTATGTAAAGGGATAAAGTCCACTAACACCCATTTGATGAGCATTCATGTAATGTATTTTTGTTTAAACATCTATAAAAATGAAACATGCCATTATTAGTACGCATAATATTTTTTACAGCAACAAAAGGATGCTACGCTGTGAATATATGCCAGCTTTCCATCCTCATTCCCCTTCTCTCTCATTCACCAGTCAGTCTTTTTGTTTAGTTTTGTATTGTATATTTTGTTCTGTACTTTCTTCATTATGACTTCACCTGCCAGTGTCTCAGGCAAGCAATCTTGACACATTAAACAGGAAGGTTTGGATAAAATAAGGAATCACGAAATGGAATAAGGAATATAATTGTGAATACTGTTTGGAAGAAGTTATGGTCTGAATGTGATTAATTACTTGCAGATTTCGGAAGAGAGCAGGACTCCAGACTCTAGATTATTTTTGCACAAGAGCAGGATTTACAGAAGTTAATCTCTTCAGGGCCACAACAGAAATATTTGCACAATTTGTATGTGCCCCTGAGATGTCATGATACAGTTTTTTTTTCTCATATTATATTTTAAAATTTTGAGAAGCAATAAAAACCCAAATCTTATGCTTACCCTTGGCTATCACAATTATTCATGATAAGGTACAGCAAAAAGCATTTACAGCATGTGGTGTTATCTGGGTAAGCTTTATTTGTAATGTGTTAGGCTGTACAAGTCTAAACCTCTGTGGGCTCTTCTGATAGGAAGAGCATTGAATGCTTAGGCCTGAATGATTTTTGGGAAGCCTTAAGATGAATGAACTTACCTCTCAAATATTTTGCATATATAGTAGATGCCTTATTTAATGTTCCTTAATTTAAGGTTTTCATTTATTTAACAATCAGTTATGTTGATTCTGAGGCAATAATTACAGTGTTAAGTTTCCTCCATTTAAGATTTTCCTAAGTGTAGTGTTCAAATCCACAGTTTCAAAAATAAACCTTAAACAGTGGTTTCGCTTGTATTGGCAACAAATTATATTTTGATTTTTAATTTGCAAAAGATTGGAACAGTAATATTAACTAAACTGTGTTGGATGTTATTTGTATTCTGGATTATCTGAGCCATTGTTAAGGTAATTTTTTGTTCTGATGTTTGGAAATTAGTGGTACTGATCAAGTAACAAGATAACAGTACTAGCTTATTAAAGAAACAGGTGATTGGTGAGACTAATTATTCTGTAATGATGTTAAGCATTTTCCAGAAGTTACTACCATGGCATAAAAACAAATTTTTGTTTTCACTCATCGAGCTACACCATATCTCTTTAATAGTTTGCACATTTCCGTGATACAGATAACTTAACTGTAGACAGTGTAACAGAAGTGATATTTCTGTTCTTTGTGCTGTTGGCTGTGTGAGAAACTGAGGAGTAGGTGCATACTATGGTGCCCTCACATCACAGGAGGTGGAAGTGTAGGCCTCGTCTCCTAATTCACGTGTTTAAACCATTTGTTGAGGCTGGTCACTGAACACAAAATGGCAAATGCTGCTACAGAGCAGGAAGTGGTGACACAGAGGGTTCCCATGTTCCTTTACTAGCTTATGTGTGTTGAACCAAACACACCTGCTCCTTCCCCATCTGACTAACGCATGGTGGCAAAAATGTTTGGAAATAGTTAAGCATTTGTGAGGTTGAATTTCTTGTGATGGTGAATTTGAAGATTACTGTGTTATGGGGTGAGGCACCATGTAGTCTGGTAGAACATTTTACCAGTGCCTTATAGAAAACTGCAACCTCCATCTTCAGGGTAGAGAAGTAAATGTGATTGGAAGAGTGTATAGATACTGGAGGACCTGGCTGCAGCAAGATGTGTGCTACCCCCAGCAGTCTTCATTTTTACACATGTTTTTTTGATTCGGAAAGCCCGAGTACTTTTATGCTTGCAGGTTACTTTGCAATATTTTACTATAGAGCATATCAGTTTAAAGATGTATAATTCTTTTTTGGTTATTGGAAGGCAACATTTTTGTTTATACATTACATGATTACAGTAGTGGTATTTTGACCAAATTCTTTATAATCATGAGATTGTCATTTGTTGCATTGATACAAAATCAAATTAAATATAAGGTAAAAACGCTATCCCTGTAACAGGCTGCGAGGGCCCATAGGGTTGTGAGGCGTAGAGGCTGAAGCTTCCACATTTTCTGTAGACAGTTGGCTCACAGATGGCGGTGAGGTTGTCAGCCTTATGCACTGGTCACCCTTTACCCCTAGGAAGATTCCTGGTACTGATTTCTGTTAGAGGCTGAGTCGACCCCAGGACCATAGTGCGGCTGGAAGGATTAGGTAAATTGAAAACAAATCCAATGACCTCATCGGGACTTTAACCCGCAACCTTCTGGCTTGTAGCATAGTGCCTCAACCAACTACGTTACCGTGTGCCCCCAGTTAAATATAAACGTGTAAGATTTGAGGTTGTCACAGCAGTGACCATAATTATAACTGTCTTCTGAGGTGTGGTGCCATGTAGTGTCTGGTAGATTGTTATCAACATTTCAGAGGAACCAGCTACTACCATCTTCAGGACAGAACAGTAATCTGAGTGTGGAGGGAAGTTGTGTCCTTATAAGGACGAAGAATGGAGCCAGGTCTGAGTAAAGCAACGGGAGTAGGAAGAACACTATAATGAAGTGGCCTTACTCCTATTGGTTTGCAGCTTGATCTCATTTCCCTGTCCCTCTATCCATACCCTCTTCTCCATGTTCAGCTTTCTGAGCAGGTTCTTCCAGAATGTTGGTAAGCTCAAGCTACCTGGCATTGCATCCCATGAGACTGTGACCCTCAAGTATCAACATAGTTTGAAAAGCACAGCAATGAACTGAACTGTAGTGATCAAAGGCTCTGTACTGATAAATCATGTGGCCTTATTCCTTGCAGTTAACATTGTTCCATATATTACAGTTTGTACATCACATTCTTGTAGCATGTGCTTAATAATAATGTTCATAACTGCATGAAAGAATATAGCTATAACTCTGCTTATGGATGCAATGTTTACATTAACATTTTGAGAATTCTAACATGCCTTCAAATTCTCTTACTGTAAGTATTCATTTCTGAATAGAAGTGTTCAGTATCTTTTGTAAGTTTATCTGATGTCACTTACATTGGTAGAATAGGCTGTGATTTAACAGGAGGAGGAATTTTTTGAAGTTAAAAGTTTTTTCATCACTTTTGCCATTCTCTTGACACTTGAATGTATGTGTTTGTATAGGTTATGTTGTTATACATGGTTCTTCTTGCTTGTGAGATTTCTTTGCATTTAATTGAGTTCAGCAGGGTTATGTGATCCCAATTTAGTAATGTGTACTGTCTGGTTACTGTATCTATGGCCCTGTGAGGTATGATAGCTATGTGGTGTCATCATGCAAGTGTAATACAGAGAGGTGTGATTTTTTTCTAAAGCTTTGGTGATACTGTTCATTTTGAAGAACAAGTTACCTCACAGCACTACATGCTTAAAGTGGCTGTACTAATTCTGCTACTGAGTCATTGTTAAATGTCATTAAATAAGTAAATTATAATAATAAATTTATAAGTCTGAAACTAAATTAATACACCAATTAAGTCATTATTCCATATGACTTGCAGTAAATGTTTTCATGGTGAATAATACAGTACTTCTGCTGCTGCATAATTGTTTCCACAATCTTTGCTTCACTACCTGCTCCTTTCTACAATGTGTAGAAGCAGAGGAAGATGGCTGGACTAGTGATCATGGATCGTTTCCAAATTTTGTTGTGGTAGTGAGGACAGCCAGTAGTGTATATGACCAGGCCCTTTCTCTTCTTTAATGGGTATACAGGGAAGATGTTCCAGGTTTGAATTGTATCCGCTGCTTGTTACTACGGGGCACGCAGTAGCGTAGTTGGTTGAGGGGCTATGCTACAAGCTGGTAGGTCGCGGGTTCAAGTCCCGATGAGGTCATTGGATTTTTTCAGTTGACCTAATCCTTCCAGCCGCACTAGGCCCTGGGGTTTACTCAGCCTATAACAGAAATGAGTACCAGGAATTAATTAAATAATTTTCCTGGTGAGTAAAGTGCGGCCGGCGCGTAAGGCTGACAACCTTACCGCCATCTTTGAGCCGATTGTCTAGATAATGTGGGACCCTCAACGTCTCACAACCCTATGGGCGTTCACCGCCTGGTACAGGGATACCTTTACTTACTTTTAGTTTTTGCTTGTTACTACAGGTTTCAGCATGAAGAGAGACACATTTCATAGTAGAAAATTTTAGTTTGTGTAGGGAAGAAAACGTTTATGCCCCTGTTTTAGTATGGTGTGCTGCAGTTTGTGAAACTTAAGTTTTAGGTGAAAATACATTTCCTGAACAACTGCAAATAGAACTACTTTCTTTAACAAAGATCATGGTGTTGCGGTTATTACTCTTTCTTTGTTTTCTGGTGGTCCCAGGTTTGAAAAACTTGTCCCATAGATTATCCTGACTGAAGTTTTACTTGGTTTTCTTCTTATTGTCCAGGAAAATGCTGGAATAGTACCTTAAATTAGACTGTCACTATTTCTGTGGTCTGTAAAATTCATCATTTATAATCACTCTGCCATTTTATGGTTTGCAACAGTTTCAGTTGGCAAATAATTGTAAAGTAAACAAAGAAATAAAATTATTCAGAATGAACTCTATGCAGCAGTAGAGCTAATATTTAAAAATTCATGAAAATTACTGAAATGTGTTGGGATCACTGGTACTGTGCTTTGTGTTGACTGTCTTACATTCTGCATTGCATTGGAACCTGAAAGGCGTGCACAGGCCAGAGCTTGATTGCATCTTGCTTTGTAGGCTAGGGATCGTACCATATTGCTTGAAGGCTCTGTCCAGGAGGCTCAGCAGTCGGAAAGCCATATCCTAGAGTTCCAGGAATGGGTAACTCATGTAGATGCACTACTAACAGCACGTGTTGAAAACGACATCACCGCCGACGATTTGCCGGATTATGACCAGGTGTGTGTTGCCACACTCTTTACTTTGTTGACAGGGTCATTGGTCTCACTGTTTGTAACTCTAAAATGTGCCCGTTTTTTCATGAGTTTCAATACAAAATCTTTGCTTTATATCTGTTCTTCGATAATTATGCATATATTTTATTTTATACAGTCCGCTTCATTGATATATAAATGTTAAGTACTGAAGCAGAAGCAGTAAATAGATTTGAGGGTTACACACTGGTGACTATGAAGATTGCTGCCTTCTGTGATGTGACATTGTATAGTTCAGTACCCTGAAGTCTGAAGTAGCAGGTTCTTCCAAAAAATTGGCACTTTTCTACCAAGCTACATGGTATCACATCACAGAAGATGGTAATCTCCGTAGTAGTAGCAATAATTATGGTAAGTATGTAGCAGTGCCTAGGTTTCCTTCTTAAAAGCTATTAGCTTGAAAGTACGTGATCAATGTGGCCAGGTGCACAGAAAAAGTGATATAACTGTAAGGTGCAACTTTCCATATGTCTTTATATGTTTTGATACTTAGCAGCCAGAATTTTTTTAGTTGAATGCTGTCCTGTAATTTATGTTGAAATATATTAATGAAATTTGAGGCTCTCACTGTGGTGATTATTAAAATTATGGTCTTCTGGGGTATGACTCTGTGAAGCCTGAAAGGGTGCCAACATTTTGGAAGAACCTGTCTACCAATCTACATGGCATCACATCCCAGAAGACTATAATCTGAATTTTATTTGATCTTACAGGCTGTAGATGTCAAAAGAATAGTTTTAAATTTGTAAAACAAGAGAACTTTATACTAGAGAATAACTTCTTATTACAGCTTGAGCCATTCTTGGACACCTATTTGCTATTTGGTTTCGGTTTGGATTTGGTTGTGTGTGTGTTTTCTCCTAAACTTTCTTATATGTTTGAATGCTGATTGGAGATTGTTTATTTCTCTGCCTTGCCTTTTATATTCACTTGTGTTTCTGTGCCTGGTGATGTTCTATAGAAGAGTATGAAACATAGAGGCACAAGCTATGAAATTGCTTCTTGTTGGATGGAATACTTACTAACGAAACTCAATTCAGGCAATCTGATTTTCCTATGTGCACACCTCATATATACATAGCTTAATATAAATGTTACATAAGTGAGATGCTTGTGTACAGTCTGGTCCAACATTTTTACCACTATGCATGAAATATATTTTATTAACCCTAGAAGTACCACTTTAATTCCTGTAAAATCAGGTCACCATTTTAGGTTTTCAGAGCTATATTTGTGGGTGAATAATATGCTATAAACACTCTGTAAGAAATTCAGACACAGAAAAAAATTATCCCCAAATATTTCTTCACTATGTAGTTCAGATAAAATTCCAAGATGTTTCATTCGCTGTTAGATATAGCAGTTTCTGTAAAGGTAGAAATTTTCAGCACTTGACACTTGTGAATTTAAATATATTGTTACATGAGTTATAGATTACTTTCCTGTAATATGTTCAGACACTTGCTGAAGAATTTGAAACCCAGAAAAGCACACTGAAGGAAATGGAAGAGCAGGTGAAGACATACTCGTCTGCAGGGAAGTATGAGGCTGCAGCCAGATTGCAGGAACAGATGCTCCTCCTTCAGGTGAGCCATATTTATAGAAGTCTTCAGAACTTCAGGGCCTACTTACATGAATCAGTTCACAGAATTTGAGAACCTAGTTAAGCATGATTGATTTTGAAGAGGGTTGTAGCGCTATGTAGTTGGGAGAGAGTCCAGTGTTTCAGAAGAATGTGGCCAGAGTTTAAATCAAGAAAGCAGGAGACGCAAGCGGCATGCTGAACTCAGTTTGCAACCTGCTTCTGGCACTACTGTAAGAATCTCACATCCACCATGATTGATTATGTTTTGGCAGGAACGCTTCTCAGAAGTCCAACTCAGGTTCCAGAGATTTCGATCCCCATCAAACTTGGAGCCACGACTTGCAAGGGCCCTGAGAGAGCTGAGGGGTGTGGAGGAAGCGACTTGTCTGCTGGAGCTTGCGTCTGATGACCCAGAAGGAATTGAAGGGCAACTGAAACACTGCTTGGTATTATTAACTCAGAAAATTATGACATAGAACAGAGAAAGAAAGAAACCAACCAACCAACCAAACAAACAAACAAACATGGCAACTGACTGACTGACTGACTAAGTAACTAATTAATGTGATAACTAACCAGATAACTGCATGGAGCTGAGTCTTTTTGAGAACCCACCATTCTCTCAGCTGCTTAAGAATTTCCTGCCATTTTATGGAACCCACAGGTTCATTACTATGTTCACAAGAGCGATCCACTGGTTTCTGTCCTGAGCCACATCAATCCATGGCATACCACACCATCCCATTTCTCCAAGATTCATCCTAACATTATCCTCCCGCCCACATCTTGGTCTCCATGGTGGTTTCTTTCATTCTGGTTCTTCCACTGAAGTCCTATATGCATTTGTCTTCTCCCCTATGTGTGCTACATGTCCTGTGAAGCTATACCTCCACTCTCCTGTGCATCTTCATTTTGTGATGCTCAATGAAGCAAGCATAGGAACAACTTTGCCGTTACCTTTACCTTTCAGAGTCACAGCACCAACTTAAAAGTGTGTTTGAACAATTTTATGGGAATGTAGGTTGAAATATATATGGGACTATATGGGTATAACATATAACTGGACACACTTAATGGAGAGCTTGCTCCTTGTGAAGATGATAATCATTTAAGGCATTCCAAAGGGACCATCTGAATTCACAGGTCCGTATCACATTTCCTAGAATGCATCAGTTATGGCTTGCAACTTTTTAGAACTGGTGTGAAGAGTTCTGTCTTCTGAGATGCCGGGTAATCCTATGAAAGTAGGCCATCAGTTTCAAGGAACATGTTGCCTCCATCTTTGCTTGCTGCCTACTTCATGATGGTATCTTGCATGGCTTAATCTTCAGCCCTAAAAATGGAGTTGACATAAACCTCAGAAAGGTCTGTTGACTTTCAAGGAACTACATGGAGTTACATTCCAGAAGATAGACCTCTGGGTTATAGAAAAGATAATTATTTTTCCAACAGAGTTCATCCTGTTACTGAAAAATATTGAAGATTGTGTAGTACAAGCTTTAAAGTATCAAAATTTGTATTCATTTCCACAAAACAATCATTATAGGTATTTGTTGGTGTAAATAGCAGTATGTTAATATGTGCCATTTTCCTGGGATGTGACACTGTATAGCCTGGTAACTTGTTACCAACATTTCAAAGGAATTTGTTTCCTGCATCTTTAGTTAGGGTAGCTGTGATTGTTGGTAATGACGTGCCACACTGCACAGCACATCCCTGAAGACAATAATCTTCATGGTCACGACCATGAGAATATCAAATCTAAAATGTTAGTAGACTAGGCTGCAATGCATTTAAAATAGTTTGTAGACAGTCTGGAATGCAGAATCCTCATGAGGAGAATGTTTGCAGTTACAAATGAAATTATGCATCATAATGGGAGGAACAGGTGGGTAGCGTAGTTGGTTGAGGCACTATGCTATAAGCCAGAAGGTTGCTGGTTCAAGCCCTGATAAGGTCATTGAATTTTTTTTCAGTTGACCTAATCCTTCCAGCTGCACTATGGCCCTGGGGTTGACTCAGCCTGCAACAGAATGAGTGCCAGGAATATTCTTAGAATATTCTTGGGGGTAGAGGGTGGCTGGCGCGTAGGGCTGACAACCTTGCTGCCATCTATGAGCCGATTGTCTAGATAATGTGGGAACCTCAACATCTCACAACCCTATGGGCCTCCATGGCCTGTTACAGGGATACCTTTGCTTTACTCTACTTTTGCTGGTGCATGCTTAACTTGTTATTCACATAATAATGTTGCTTTACAGAGATTCTATCATACCCTTAGTGATATGAAAGGAGAGGTAGAGAGCATAATTAAAACAGGCCGAAAACTGGTGGAAGACAAAGCTGTGCCTGATCCTTTAGCATTTTCGACAAGGATAGACACCTTGAAGGAACTGTACAACAAGGTATGGGCTTGTGTTACTTTATTATTGTGGTATGTAGATCCATTGCTAGGCAATGACCATGAAATAGGCGATTACCCAACATCCATTGCTAAGTAGCCACTGCACATATTTTCATGGCAACAATTAAACAGCAGCAGAGGAATGATGCTTTCTGTGCGCTCCATGTCGAAATGCTATAAGCAGGACAAGCTAGGAGCAGTTGGTCAGTCAGTTAAAGTTAGTCAGTGGAGTTAGTCAAGAGTTTCTATAGCTAAGGCATGGGGACAGGTTGGGAACCCAGAGGAAGTGGAACATCTGCCTTTGGAATCCATTCCCAGAAAACTGGTGAAGACAGCAGGCTAAGGAGACATGTGCTAGTGAACTGTAAGTGTGTGAATTAGTGAAACAGTTATAATTACTTGTAGTCATGGATCTGTAAGAGTTCAATAAATGGTTGCTCATACACCAAACAATATGAATTAATAAGCATTTTACAGAATTTTACCGATATGTTGTTCAGAGCACATAGCTCACCATCACACCATCTGTAACTTGTGCTTTGATGAAATAAATACAGTAATTTCTCCAGACAGAAATCAGATTGATTCGTACTTAGCAAATTGATACTTGCTTTTGTGACAGGAAATCCAATGCTGTGAAGGGCAAGGCAGGTAGGTACACAGTTAATGACGTGTAAAAGAATGACAAATGTATGTATGTTGCCGTATCAGTCCACAGTCCAGCAAGCAGTGAGAAAATCGTATGTGATGTTGAATAGAATGTTTTAAACTTGTAGAACTATTTTTAAGTTTTGTTTTTCTTGGTTATGACATTGTAGTTCTGTATGTGTTTTACTAACATTACAGAGGATCCTTCAGCCACCATGTTCAGGGTAGAAATGAAAGATGGATGCAGTTGATTCTTCCAAGGCATGCACAATCATCTGTGGAATTATACGGTGTCATAATTGAAAAGATAACAAATTTCGCAGTTGTGGGAATATGACATCTCATCTTTGAAACTTTTTTGTTCCTTTTTATAGCTTGGTTCTCAAATAACAGAAGCTAAAGGTGGATTGGATACAGCTTTGGGACTGTCACGGAACTTAGAGAGAGAAATTCCAGCTTTGAATGAATGGATTGATGGTGTGGAGATTCAGTTAGATGAGTATGAAGCTACAGGAGGAATTAATGCAAATTTGGATTCACACGTTACATATCTGAAGGTACTGCTTGTTATTTCCATGTGACACATTATTCTTATTCATTTCTTGTTAGGATTTGTGGGTAACAAATTGCATAATTCTTGTAGAAATATATTTAAGAGACTAGAGAACTTAACTCATCCATGTGAATATACACGTATATTTTCATTAATAAATTTCATTACAAATGACAAACATTTTCAGACCAATGCACTTGTACACAATGTTAACACAAGACACAAGCACTCTCTCCATAAACCAACTGCTAACCTCTCATACTTCCAGAAGAGCACATGTGCTGGTATCAAAATTTTCAGTAATCGACCATCTTATCTCTAAAGTTTTATCAATGAAGAAGCACTAAAACGATACTTATACACTTATTCATTCTAGTCTGTTGATGAATACATATTATCTAAAAAGTGACTCATCCATTTAAAGGTTGTGTAAATAACAAGTTGACAGTACTGATGCAAACGATGTATATGTGGATATATTTTTGAGTAGCCTTATATAACCATTTCGTTTTCTTGGGTTTTCTTGTGTAAAAACTTCAGTTGTACTGTACATACGAGGGGGTACCCAAAAGAAACCGAACTTATTTTTTTTAAACTTATTTATTGAAATTTTAAGCACAAACCTTCAATCCCCTTCAAAGTATTCTCCACTTACACTAATACACTTGTCTAGTCTTTTATTCCATTTTTTAAACATTGTCTAAATTCATCTTTTGAGATGCTTGACAGCGCCTCCGTCGTTTTTTTCCTTCACCTCAGCAACATCAGCAAAACGCTGAAAAAAAGTTTTGATCATTTCGGGACTCTTCTTTCAAAGCACAGCATGCTTCCACGCGACCTTGTTTTTGTTCAGCAGTCAGCAGTCGTGGCACGAATTTCGCAGCCACCCTTTTCATTCCCAAATCTTCTGTCAAAATTCGCTGAACTGAGCTCCAAGTCACTCCCGACAGCTCCACAATTTCTTCAATGGTCCGTCGTCGATCTTCCTTGATGATTTCACGAATTTTTTCAACATTTTCATGTGTTCGGGCCATTGCAAAAACGACGATCACACAAAACAGTTGTCACTATAAACTCTGCCGAAACTAGTCCTTACCTTCTGAAGCAACGGTAGTCGGCTTATCGACTCAGGAATGTTAGCTCTATGCGCTCATAGCGGCAAAACGCGGTACTACAAAAGCTCTGCCCACAAAAAAATTAGTTCGGTTTCTTTTGGGTACCCCATCGTATATGTTTGCATTTATATGACATTCCTGTGAGCTGGGTAGCGCAGTCAGTATAGTGACTGCCTACAGGCTGGACAACCAACGGGTCGGAGTTCGAGTCCCGCTAGGGTCAGAATTTCCCTTCTCCATATTGTCAAGACTGGTTCTGGGGCCCACCCAGCCTCCTATCCAATGGGTACTGGGGCTATTTCCCTGGGATTAAAGCAGCAGTTATTTTGACTAACTTTGGATCCAGGTATTGTAATGTAATGCTACTCTGTTAACAGAAGACGTTAGAGAAGGATGTTCCGAAGTGGAGTGCTGTGAAAGAGGGTATAAAGTCATCATATAAAGCATTTTCTGCCCTCTGTGATCCAGTCTATTTGGAAGTACTGAAAGAAAGAGTGAATGATGTCATCAGGAAGGAGGAAAAGTTGGACGAGAGGCTGAGGAGTTTGTTGTCTGCCCTGGAGGTAAGTTGATTGTCTTAAGCAAGGGGGCTCATGTTGAATAAATTATAGACAAATGGCTGTGACATAGACCTGGCAGTTAATCGCCGGCTTCCCACTGTGGCATCCAGGTTTCTATCCCATGTCAGATCTTGTGGAATTTATGGTTTAGAAAGTGCCACTGGGGCAGGTTTCCTCAGAGTACTTTGGTTTCTGCTGCCAATTCTTATTCCACCAAATGCTCCATACACATCTGTCATCTGGGGCTGGTACAGTAGACCACTTACTGGCTGACATACCACTTGGATTCAGTCTAACCCCACCCCCACAAATCTAAAAAAAAGAAAAAGTTGTAGATAATTGAGTGTACCTTCTGATTCCGTAAAATGCTGGGAAATTCTTGAGTAGCTGCAGATTTGGTGACTCCTGAAGAAGGGCTCAGCTCCACAAGTAAATAAGTAATTAAGATAATCAAGTGTATTTTCTTTGCTTTTGTTCCATGTTAAAAGCAGAATGTGACTGCAGCTAAAAGCAAGCTTGAGGAACTGAACTCATCAATGGCAGAACTAAATCAGTGGCTGAATGAGGCAGAGGAAAGGGTGAACAAACTGGATGCTCTAGCTCAGGATCAGATTTCAGAGAAAGACATTTCAGAATGCAAGGTGAGTACATGGTACCAGCAGGGTTGAACAGTTCTGTAATTTTGACCATTTGGAATGTTGCTTAAAAAGACAATACTCTGAATGAGTTGAATGAACAGTGATATCCAAAGGTGTAAAATAACGAAAATGAAAGTAGCAATTTGGGCATATTGAGGGTTTTTTTTTCCTTCTCCCCTTGGCACTACAGCCCCAGTGGGCCTAGGCCTACCTCCATGAACTTCTCCGTTCACTTCGGTTTTTCTAGATCTTACACATCCGGTATGACTCCTTGGGCAGGTGATCAGCTCGTCGCAAGGCCTCTACCTTTACACAATCACAGAAAAACGCACACAAACATCCATGCCCTGAGTGGGATTTGAACCCACGATCCCGGCTTCCGAGCGAGTGAAGACAGTGCACGCCTTAGACTGCTTGGCTACCGTGACCGGCAGGCATATTGAGTTAGTTTGCTAAATTCTTATGTCTTTGTGTCTGAGCTTTTATTCCCTCAGGTATTGTTTGTATGCCTTCTTTTAGTCTGCTTTCCGAAAGTAGGCTTATTCAGTCTCCATGCTGTTCTGTGTATCTGGGTCTCTGAACCCTTCCCTATTAACTTTTGGATACATGAACTAATTTTATAAAACTTGGTATGTGTATTGTAGCATGTAGAGCCGGTGCTAGTTATCTATCATGAGGCAGGCAACAAAACATCATTCACTGCTAGGCAACAGATTTTTAATAAGCAAGTATGTGTGGCCGTTGCTAGGTAACGCCTTCACTAACAAACACGTTCCCATATAGATGATTGGAGCAACAGTAGTACTGTGTTTTCTACATAGTCTGTGCTGAGGGGCTGTAAGTGAGATGAGGTTTGAAGCTGAGTCAGTTTAAAGTTAGTCTGTGAAGAGAAGACTTGGTTTGAGCAAGAGTGCTCAGTTGAATGGGAGCAGCCATTCAGAGAGGAGGTGAGTGTGGAAGCTGAAGCATCACCACTGTTAGAAGCCATTGCCAGGAATCATCTAGTAACAAACTGCGAACACTGTGTTAATTGTAAAGTGTGGAGATCAGCGATGGGGCTGTTAAGTGTAATTATGAGTTGTGTATTAAAACGATCAATAAATCCAGTATCCAATGGCGAACCTTGTCGAGAGTCACTCTGACACTTTGCAATATCATGGCACCTGAGCCCATCTTATGACATACTTCATAAATCCCAACCATCAGTTCTTTGTGTCTGTATATGCATTCTTGTATCATTGCTAGGCAAAAGCTGAGTATAATGTATCCTTTTATTGTTAGGGAGTGCCTTGATAAACACATTCCTGTAGCAATGAGTACATGCAACAACAGAAGAATTTTTGGATGTGTGTGTATGTTGGTCTGTCTGTATATCCCTATATTGTTGTTAGGTAACAACTCAGTAAAGACATTTCTTATGACAATGAAGCTTTCCACAATGAAGAATTGTTGGAGGTATTTCCTGTGTTGTCCATTTTATATCAAAGGAAAGTAGGTGATTAATTCTTTCCAGAATTTCTTATATATTGTAAGTTTAATGTTTTAAAATGTATAATTGTATAAGCAAGTAAAGGTTCTGAAAATATGTCATTTAATTGAGGTGAACAATTGCAGTAGAATTACCGTTTAATAGAATATGTTATAATTTGAATATTTTTTAATGCACAAAAAAGTGAAACCATTGCATAATTTGGAGGTTGTACATGTCTGCCTATCCATATATTTCAGTTGATTACTGAAATGTATTTTTATGAAATTTGGTGTTGGAAATCTCTATGATTTAAAGCTATAAGAAAAATTTCATTTCATCCAATTTCTGTCCAGTAGTATCCTGTTTTATGTGAAGAGCAATTCAAAGCTTGTCAGATTTCTCAGAAACAACTAATCATACAGAAATGTAGTAGGAGACAAAGTATATATATATATTTCATTTAAATTTACAGCTTCTAGAAAAATAATTTTTGATATTAACTCTTTGACTGGCGCGAAGGGTATTTAAATCCCACCCCTGTCCTGGCAGGCCTTTTAAACATTATGTCGCTAAGATGCATGTGCTTACTTTTTTCTAAACAACTTCAACAAAAATTGGTTTTTAAAAATGAAATTTTCAGGANCCATCATTTCCTTCAACACTGCTGTAACAGTTATCAGAGCATCTTCAGTGGCTGTGGGTATGCCATGGGAATGCAGGGTTATTTGAATAGGAGAGGCTATAGGGTTGCATTTTGCTCCTTATACTCTTATATTTTATTGTAGTACCCATGAGATGTCTCAGTGGGCCTAACACTGGAAAGGATGGCCGTGAAGAAATTAGGAAGATAAGGCTTTTATTTATTTTTTTATTTATTAAGCGATCACAATCTACAATTCTATGAGCTGGTTTGCTGGCGTAAGAGCTGTGATACTCTTTAATGACGTGATGAGTCCCTTCCCCACTGGGAGGTTCCTCTTAGTTTTCTTTTAGGTCAGCTGGCCAGTATCTTCAGAGTCTTCGATTGTACTGCGGTTCAGTGAGTGGCTGTAGTATGTTGTTTGGGTGATTTGCTAGTTTGTTGTGGTGTGTGGTACTTTTTTCTCTGATGACGTCTTTGATGTATGGTATATTTAGATCTGTACGTAATGTTAAGGAAGATAAGTGAGCACTGGTCTTGTATGGAGGTGGGTTAGAATACCTCCACCATTGCCCTGTGAGTTGTAGAAGGTGACAAAAAAGGAAGCTGGTGCCTTGGGGTATAACTGTGGCACCCTGTCACTGGGGAACAGAGATGTCCTCCATGTTCTGTGTTGGATGCAAGGCTGATAACCTTCCTATGCAAGAAATTGCTGTTGTGAAATCCAAAGAAGTGAAAACTGGACGGTATAATTCAGGACGGAATAGACAAGCCTCGCAGTATCTACTGAGGAAGGCTGTGGTTTAAAAAGGGCTGTTTTGCTGCTGCTGCTGATGGTGATGAAATAGAAGATTATTATTGTTGTTGCCACCATCATCATCAGTATAATTTATAATTTTATCCAGTGTATACCTGTATCGTTTATTAGTTTCGTGANGCAGTATAATTTTATCCAGTGTATACCTGTATCGTTTATTAGTTTCGTGAACAGTTGATTTAATTTTGAAATAAATGCACATCAAGATCAGATTTGGCAAGAAGAATTGCAAATAATACATATTAAAATTCTTTCAGAATCCACCATATTGACATGTGTAGTAACGTATAATGTTAATCTTTAGGTATTACAGAATTCAATGTATGCACGTAAAAGTGATGTGGTTTCCCTAAGAGAAGCAGCTGTGGAGTTAATGACAGCTCCAGGGCATCAACAAGAACTTAGGACCACTATAGAACCTCAGTTGGTCCAGTTGAATTGCCGATGGGGAGAGATTTTGCATAGGATTCATGTGAGTAATGGCATACTTGATATAAACCAACTATCTGTAGATACAAGTGTCAGCATGGGCACTTAAACCAATTCTAAGCTTTCAGGGAAGTCATTTTAGGCAGGCAGGAAAAGACATTTTTGAAACAGGAACTGCATCTAGAGTCAGCTGAAATCAGGGCTTGTGAAATGTGAACAGCAAGTGACAGCGTTTATAGTTTACTATTTATTTTTGTGTAGTTTCTCTCATGCAACTTCATATATGTCATTCACAACAATACCCAGCTTCTGATCCGTGACTTTGGAAGTTTTTCAGTTACTTGACAACTTTAATTCTTGACCTAATTTTGAACAAGTACAACATTTTACCATTAAGAATAAATTTTTATTCTCCTTTAGAGACATTAGTAACTGTTGTTTTTAACTGTAGGCTTCCTACTATATTGGATATTAGAAAAGTTCTGTCTTCATCTGTGATATGGTTCATTTTTTATCAGTGTCACAGTATGTGACAAAACTTTGAAGAAGGAATAATGGTCAGTTTAAGAAATTGAAGCTTACTCATGTAATTAAAGAAGAAAAGATTGAGAATTAGGATTTAAGTTTCATCCAAAAACACTCCAGTGCAAGTCTTCCTCATCACGGTAACCTTTTGGTGTTTTCTGTTGTATCTGCAGTGGGAAGCAGGAAGCAAGAGAAGGGTTCTTGTCTTCTGGGCTGTAATGCCATGTAGTCCGTTGAAAGTCAGCTGACATGTTCCTCCAAAACATCGGTTGACTTTTGATGGACTGCATGACATTATATTCCAGAAGATGGAACTTTTCATAACCACTGCTGTGAGAACGTCAAATCATACACAGGAACCAGAGAAGTCATTTTTCTATATATCTGAGTTTCATGGTCCTGATTTAACTGCCTTATCAGTGCAATACACTGTGAAATGTCCATCATGGCTCTTCTCCCTTAGGAGAAGAGGTTTATTTCCTTTAATTTTAGAAATATCATACCATTTGATATTTAATTTTTTCTTCTTCCTCCCCAGAATCTGTTTTGTTTCTGTTTTACAGAACTGCGTTATATTTTTTGGGACTTTTCTGTTCAGATTAATTATTCTCATAATGATAAAATATTATAGTTGGAATTTGTACTGAACTAACCTGCTTACTGCAAGTGTGATCCATGCATGTGCTGTCACAAAACCATAGTTGTCTGGTGCCCTAGTGTGTTTATCAGACCAGGAAGCCAGCTTCTTATTCTGTTGCGATTGTGTTAAAGCTGCTACGTATTAAGACTTGGCTTATCTTTTTGTGCAGAATAATAACATGTTGTTTGTGGTGCCTTATGTTATAACTGTATATAAGAAACAAAAACCTGAAATAAATTTACTTCACTTACAGCTAACATATGAGTATTTTGTTACTTTTCCACTTTTATTCATAATGGTGCAGCTTACTGTGGGATTATTCAAATGTTCACATGTAAAGCACATTGAAGTTCTGTCATGAAAAATTTAAGAGAACTTTAAAAATTTGTAAGAACAAAATTTTGCTATAATAGAATTTGTAATAGTGTACATGAAATCTTCAAAATACAGCCATGTTCAGATGCAGTATTTAATGGAATAGGTGCATTTTTTGTATCCTTCCTTATGCATGTATGCTGCTCTGTATAAATGGTTTTTGATTAGATTGCAAAGAACTTAACACATATCAGCCAAACATAATTTTGATCTAAACTGAACTACAACATTATGTGTAGGACAGATTATGCTTTTTAGATACATATATTGATATGTTGAAAAGTTTTAAATATGTGTCTGGCATATGTATTAATATGTAACCTATTATCTGGGAACAGGGACTGACACTGATACTGGAAGATGGGTGTTAATTTGGGGTGGACTGTGATAGTATCTTTATTAACAAAACATGACATTAGGTCTGTGGGACCCATGCATGTGCTATGTAACACATTGATTGGTAAAGTTTAATAAGATTAATATCTTCATGGTAAGTACATTTCTTTACATAATATTTAATTTCTGAGGTTATGACCATAACATACATTGTGTCTGTAAAATTATGGTGTTATTTTCAGGATGTTTTATTTTGCAACAATCAGAGCTCGAAACTGGAATTGCCATAGGAAATAAAAAAAGTCTGGAGGAATAATATCTGATGATATAGGTTTCTAGGTTTTGAAGTATTCTCAAGCAATCCACCATCCTTGGAAACACTTATAAAGACATTTATGAGTAATGTCTGACAGTATACATTCTCAAGTTTTCATGGTGGTGATTGTTCATATTGTGATCTTACGGTTGATAACAGCATATGATCTTGTAAATGGATATCAGCGTTTGAGAGGAACATACTGCTTCCATCTTTATTGTCAACCCTGAAGATGGAGGTAGCATGTACCTTTGAAACTTTTGTACCCGCATGCAAGACTGCATGTTCTCATAAGTCAGAAGACCACAATCTGAGTATCTGATGGTCTCTGTGAACAGTGTGAAGCCAAAAAATTGGAAGCACAATTGACACATTTTTAGTTAAGTGGAGAAGGAACCGGAATGCAGAATGGATTGACACGGTGATGAATAGGACTCTCTTTTAACTTATTCCTTCTGATCTGTCACACTAGTCAGATATTATAGAATGATTTGACACCTTCCAGTGTGACTCAAATGTTTATTTTTTTTATATGATGCCTTTATATGTTTTGGTCAGTAAACTCCCATCCTCAGAAAGCACAACAATGTATTGAGGAAACTACTTTTACGTTATTCATATTACATAGCAGCGTCATCAGCGGCGACTTGAAGCACAGAGAAAATAATGCTCGAGATGGTTCAAGTTCGTATAGCAACAGGCGTGACCAGAGTGGTTTGAACGGCTGTTGTACTGCGATGTGGAAAGCAAATGGAAAAACTACCACATTATCACTATTCCTGGATAGTCTCTTTCCAAAAACAGAAGATCGCATTAAGTGGAGAAACTGTTTTGGAAGAGGCTGTGGACCTGTCATCTGACAGATTACTGATGAATGAATTACATCAAATTGAATCAAAGTTTTATATAAAGATTTTAATTAAGACAAATTGTTGAGTTAAAAATTGTTAAAATTCTTAGTATTTAAAATCTTAGACTGCTAATGTTTGTGTCTTCATGCATCTTCTATCAGCGGGACTCTGGGGAAGATATTGCCGTCCTTAGAGGACCGGGCCGTGTTTTCCACCCTTTTTTATTATAGTTGATTAGGAATCTGTATGTTGTTGGGCTGTTACTCTTTTTGTTATTGATTCAATTTTATATACTGTGACCATGTAATAGTAGTTTCTTCAGCATGTTTATGTGTCTTCGGAGGATGTTCGTTTGCTGACCGAAACATGTAAAGGCATCATATAAATATACATTTGAGTCACAGTGGACCCTGTCAAATCATTCTATAATAGGACTCTCACTGAAGTTACGTATTTACGTAAGTAAACCTTCCCAGTTTATCTTCCAAGTCATGTTTCTAGTGTTAGTTGTTACAAAATAGCAGAGCTTGAGAACTACATCCTAATGTTACAGATGCATTTTACTGGAGTGGACATGTGTGAAATGCATGTGTTGTGATATGCTGAGCATGTTACAGTCTGTTTTTATCCAGTTTGGTCTCTATAAAACTAAAAGAGGAGTTCTTCAATAAAAACCTGACCCTTAATTGCTGCAAAACATTGCTGCCTATTTATACTTTGTGATGGAATATCAAAATAAGATTGAATGGGTTCATAACACTCCTATGCAGTTTTTGGTTTTGGAACAGGAAATTTGGAGGCAAAATGCAAAGTTTTATCCCTGCAGATATTTTATACCAAGAGAACTTTTTCAGAAACTATTTATCTATGGCTTATTATAGTGTTTTGCTAGACAGTAAGTGATATTGTATTAAGTGGGTGGTACAATGTCTTTCTTGTGTGGATTCTTAATTTGTAGATCTATGTGTATTCATTTGTTTTGATCTCCAGTTAACCCACTACTGAATCATATTCAGAGGTTGATCTGTGCAAGAGTTGGCACCTATAATGATTGTTTATTAACAAAATAATACATTAATTAAATAATGATGCAGTATAACCTTATGTTATGCAGTTGAGAAGTTTGTCACACTAATTATATTGTGATTTTGATGTAGTGACTACTGATCCCTGTAACACAAGAGCTTTTTGTACATTGTGAACATAGCATTATGAAGACAGAATTATTATAACTGATCCCTCAATTCTTAGTGTTTGGCTATGGTGTATTTGTTTAGTATTTAGTTTGTGGCAGTGTGTATATGTTCCTTCCTGTGTGCACCGAAACTGAAGAACCTTGCTTGTTGACTGGTGAACTGGTTGCTTGTGGTTTTTGCACAATATTGTTAACTTTTCTGACTTCGTGGTATTATGTGGAGGGTGTGGGTGTGTTCAGTATGCCATGGTGCAGGTGACTGAAGTGTGTGTGATGTGAATTAACTCTCCATCTGCACATTTAAGCCCCAGCACTGTAAAGTCATTATTATACCTTGTTTGATGATCAAAAAGACTAAATAATTACCTGGAATTGGTCTCTCTCCCCTGATCTCCACGAATGCTTGTCATTAACGTGTTAAATTCGCTTGTAGTAAATATAAGTTTGCATTATTGAGAGAGCATATTGCCCTTTGTATTGCAGAGTTACACATGAATTGAATGTGTATAACACTAAAGCTCAACTGTTACCTTGAATAATGGTTGCCTGTAAGACTTTTGACCTGCTAATTGCAATGGCTGTGATGAAATCTGCACTGCACGGTTGGTGATGGTGAACAATCACTTCTTGCGTCTTACTCTGCATGCCGTATTACATACACATCAACTTTCCATCAGCATTTTTGCATTTCATAACATAATTCCATCGCATTATAATTTTTGTCTCACTTAACCGCCTTAAAAATTAAAATTGTGAACTGACTAAAGTATGTTATACAATTTATATTCTTTTAATAACCATAAAAGGTCTGGCTTTGTAATATAGAACTTAACATCAGAAATTTAAGGTTCATATTTCATGAATAAGATAAAAAGTGGCATGAACCTTGTTTTTACAGGGTTGGACTCAGAAGGTTACTGTAATGACCAAGAGTCCTTCTGCCACTGCTAGTGATAGACTTTTAACAACTGACATGCAAACTACAACCTCATCTGGAGATTCCAGGGGGAGAGAGCCACAAGAAATTTCATTTCTAGTTTTGGAGAAGGAAAAAGCTCATGTATCTGTGACAGAACCACAAGAACATGTTGCACCAAAGTTGCTTCTGGGTTTACATGAAAATGATATTCATCCACTTGAAGAAAATGTAAACAATATGTGTGAGTATAGTGAGCATGAAACTGTGGGACAGGAATGTATGGGCTACCTGAATCCTGTATTTGAAGATTTATTGGACCAAGATGAAGTTACAAAAACTGGGGATGAAGATAGACGTGAACTCTTGGTAGGTGATATGGCAGAGAAACCTGAGGAACTAATGGAGTCTGAACCACCAGTGGAAGGAGTAAGACAGCATCCAAAAATTGTGAGTGAAAATGTTCAGGTTAGACAGATTGAAAGTGCAGTACCAGATGTGCCAAGGATGGCAGAATTGCCAGAAACCAATGGAATAACTGTAAAGAAACAGGAAGAAACAGAGGAATGTAACAGAGTAGGTAACATAACTGTAGAGATGGGCTTTGGGGATGATGTGAAAACAGTAAAACCTGCACAGGCTTCTGAAGATACTGATGACATGGATACATTTTGCTTGGTAAAGGACAGTATGCTGTTCTCTCAAGTGTCAACCAATACTCTTGTGACCAGTACAGCAGAGGTAGACCATGTAGGCTCCCAGAAAGAGGCAGATCCATGCCAAGTAGTTGAGGTAAAGGCAATAGAAATCATAAAATCAGTAGTTACCCCCATAGAACCCATTGAACATGTGGTCTACCCTAGCAGAAGTATGGAAACAACGGAGCAGTTCGGCCCTTTGTCTGTTGAAATGGTAGAAATCTTTGACGAAGCTGAAACGGAACCTGAAGAATCTGCCCCAGAGACTGACACTGAGTCGCCTGTTAAGTTGACCGATGGTCAAGGAGACAGAAGGAAACGGCCATCAACATTAAAGCTACACGATGTCGACACAGATGTTGAGCAGCATCAAGAAGATGATTTTGATACTGTGATCTCTAACAAAAAAATAGCCAGGTTATCGCCCAGTAAAGATGGACCACCACCATCTCGGCGGTTATCAGACGAAGAAATTATAAGGGTGAGTGCAGTTGCTGCTACTAGTGACCCAGCTGCATGTCCGAATGTAACCCAACTTCTAACAGAATCAGTTGGAAAACTGAGCCAGTCCCCGCCTAAGGTATCCATTCCTGGCTACTGTGTGCAAGTGCATGCTACCCCAACCCCACCACCAACTCCAGCCACGTACCCGAGTGATATCCTGTCTTCACTCTGCCTTCAGATGACAGACAGAGTCAACAAAACAGAGGAGACCACAGTAACAGCATGGCGTGATTCCGAGTTTCTAACTCTAGATGACACCACTAACACACAGAAGTCACATGCTGGCAATGGTGTGGAAATAGTGCGTAGGCCTGCACAGTATGCTGTCACAGAAGGTGACCAGAGATATGAACGTAGCAAATCTCCTGACCTGAAAGAAGTGATTCTTAAAAAGGAAATTGAAGTATCTAAAACGTATAAGATAATTGGTAACATTAGTGACCCAGATCCTTCTTGTAACGCTGCTGCAGTAGTGTTAAGAGACACCTCTCCTGTGCTGGATGATGACTACAACAGTTTCTATGGAAGTGACAAAGAGACTGATGATGTTGTAGAGTTTTCTGATGATGGTGGACCTCCTCTTGAACTGAACGACAGTTCAAGCTCAGACGATGAGAGTCCATCTCTTGGTCACCTAGTTATGCAACACTTTGACAAGGTGGGTACAACTGACAGGAAATGTGGGATCAGAGATTCTGAAAATAATTTAAAGTTGTATGTTCTTATATCTGTTTTTGTTTGTAAATTAATGACACACTGAAGTAAACATATTCACATAATTGATTATAATATCTGAAGCTTTATTTTTAAGTTGCTCTTTCATACTGTGTACAGGTCTTAACATGATGTAAGTATAGAATTATATTCAGATAAAAGTATGTCATATGTAAACGTTCATTATTTTGCAGGCGATACTTTCTTCACGAAAGGAAGCTTATGTCAGCAAACACAGAGAAAAGCCTCATCCTGTTTCACCACAGAGAGCAGCTGTAACAAGCAGTGAGGGGTCCACATCACCTGTCCAAACGACATTAACGACTGTGAGTCCACCACAGCCCACCCCGCGAACCTCAAAAGGACAGAAAGAGACACTGTCCTCTCCTCTTGGCAAGGAGATAGCAGCATTTGAAGAAGCAGCACAGCAGATGCTGAGGAGGATGAATGTGATGCTGGTGACGGTGAAGGGGGTTGGCAGTGAGAAGGATCCAGGAAGGAGACTGGAGGTATTAAGGATTCTGTCAGTTATCTGGGTTAATAGTTTGGGGTTCGATTCTCAGCAGGGGAAGGAGATTTTTATCTACTCCACAGTATCCAGACTGGCTGTGTTACCCACCCACTCTTCTATCCATCGGGTACCAGTGGCTGTATCCATGAGGAGTGAAGCGGCTGGGGTGTGAAGGTATTCCCTCACCTCCATCTAATGTCAAGGTCGAGAATGGTGGAGGTGTAAATTAAAATTTTTTTAAAAGTCCCTTAGTGGGTGGTGGAGTCCAACTGTTTCCACTCAGCATGGCGGCCACTGATGGGTCTATTGTAGTCTGCCCCGGGTGATTATAATGATGGAGAATTTGGTGAAATGAAGATTGGCAAGGGAAACCGAAGTACTCGGAGAGAACCCGCCCCAGCGCCACTTGACCAAACCCGGGCCTCCACGGTGGGAAGCCAGCGACTAACCTCTTGAGCTATGACACGGCCCACGGTGGTGTAACTCCACTCCCCATATGTCTTCATGGCATGGTGCTTAATTAAGTAATGGACAAGTTTGCCTTTAGCAGTAGTTTGAGAGAGGAAAGGCACACAGCTGCATCATGACCTGGTCACATTGTGCTCCAGTTATAATTGCGATAGCAGAGTGCAGTGGGTTCTGTGTTTTGTATAGACTGGTAATAATGAAAGTAGCAGAATCTAGCAGGAAGAATGGGAAGGGGAACTAATTATGAATATGAAATTCTTAATTATTTCATGTCTCCATCAGCAACCTGAGGATGTACCATGCCATTGTGACGGAAAGTATTTAACATGAATATTATAACTAGATTCACAACATTTGGTTTGGAACTTGTTATACTACTGCTCCAGACATAATTTTAAAGCATGTGATGTGTTAAAAATTATTATGTAATAGCAGTATATAATTATAAGATTTACATTTGACAAATTCATCATAGTCAGAACTTGCATTAATGGAAAATATGAACAGCAACATAAACTAAATTGTATGATTTCTAATTTATAGTTTCTGCAATCTTCACCAAATAGGTAGAACCATTTGAAGGAAAGTAGGCATCATGATTTCTTCCCAGAACCTACTGTTAATGGTCCAGTGTAAGAGTACGGTTATGTTTCTTTTGTAGGTACTGGAACGTGAATTAAGCTTCTTGGCTCCTGATATTGCAACACTGATCAGTCGAGGGGATGGTTTAATTCTGACTGTCCATTCTAATGATCCATTTCGAGCAGGAAAGCTAAAGGAATTGTCACAGGATAAGTTGAGGAGTAAGTGGCAGGAAGTGAAGGCAGAGTGTGAGGTGAGTCAGCTGTAGAGATATGGATTTTGGAGCTGTGACATTTTGGCTTTCTTGATGGTGGTTATGAACTATGTTACAAAGTTTTGAAGAACAATTAGGTATACTGTGTTTCGTTAATCAGAAATCTAGCCTTCTTTCATTCTCATATATTCCTCAGTATGTAGTTGCCATCGTCGTCATCCTCATCATCAATCATTTTGAATATTAGACCCATTGAACTATGTTACGGATGTTGATCTTTCCATCTTTGCAGAGGTCTTCTAAAACTCTGTTCTTTTTTGGTTAAACAAATATCTGTTTTGGAATCCCATCAGAGCTGATCATTTGCTGCCATGAGATATTACTTCATGCAATGCAAGACTTCATGGAATGTCTTGTTAGGTAGTCTAGCATGGAGTCCCCAAATAAATTAATGGTTAAACAAATAGGAAGAGAGTTATAACAAGTTTCAGTATATTTTTCTCAGGCAGTCATACGAGTCAGTAAGGAATGAATTCTCAGTGTTGTCAAGATGTGTGCAATTTGAGGTGCTCACAGTAGTGGTTATGAAGAGTTCTTTCATCTGGGATTTAACAGAACATAGTCTGCTGAAAGTCAGCCAACATTTCAGAGGACCGTGACACCTTCATCTTTGGGGCTGAAGAGTAAGCTACATGTGTAGCAAGCGGGAAGCCTGCTGGATCACATCGTGTTATATCCCAGAAGACAGAACTCTTTGTTTCCAATGTTGTCTCTGTTACCATCATCAGGGATTCAGGAGATGGACGACGAAACCGTTGGTTGAATAAGATATCACAGTAGGAGTGAATGACCTTGATACCAGTATTAGCTAGTAGCTGTGTAGACTCACCAGTTAGGTGTTATGTGCAATTACAGGTTGTGGTTTACAACTGCTAGTTAATCACTATTACCATGACATAATACATACAGTTGGCTAGTGGTTCTTTTTCTAAAAGCATTTGATGGTACTTTCATGTTAGTTTTAGTCCTAAAGTTGAAACATAAACTTTTAGGAAGTTTACTGATATGCATACTCGCACATTTGGGCAGTTGGCCCTGAGAGCAGCAGAACAATAGGAGACTGGCGGGAAGAGTTAGGCATTACCCATCCTACACCTACGGTTTATCTTAAATTGTGTCGTCAGTTTATATACCAGAAAGAAATTTGCGCAGTATTTTCTTTTGTTTTGCTTAGTTAGGAGCTTCATAACATAATTAGAATGGTCACAAATATAAATATAAATATAAATCACTCCATCCAATGTGACCTGTAAGTTTTTTACTACATGAAAACTTAACACCCTTACATGTTTTGGTCTCTGTGGACCATCTTCAGAGGGCAAACATCACTACAAATAGGAAACCACCATCACATAAGTTGTTTAGACGTAAAGTACATACACTTATATGCTACAATACATAGTACACAAAATAGACATTTCACATTTCACAAACACAGCAGTTTCCTGGGAATGTAAAGTTTTTTATAAAATTGTATAAAATTTCTTGATGCTAATTAAAATTTTTTTTTTGGATTGTCAGTAATTAAAATTCGTAATGGTCAAGTCGAGGAGAGGTGGGCTGGACATTTAGCACACATGGGGGAAAAGAGGAGTGGGTATAGGATTTTGGTGCAAAAGCCAGAAGGAAAGGGACCACTAGGAAGACATACATGTAGGTGGGACGATAATAAAGATGGGCATTAGAGAAGTAGAATGGGGTGGTATGGACTGGATTGATCTGGCTCAGGATAGGGACCAGTGGAACACTCTTGTAAACACAGTATGAACCTTTGGGTTCAGTAAAATTTTGGGAAATTCTTGAGTGGCTGAGTGACTGGCGGCTTCTCGAGAAGCACTCGTCACCATTTAATTAATTTACTTCTTGTTTATTTTTTCTGTAGGTAAGGAAAGCAGAAGCGCAGGAGGGTGAGGAGAAATTGAAGGAGTGCAGCAAATTGATGGCTGAATTACAGTTGTGGTTAAAGGATGCTAAACGGAGGCTGGAACAAGCAAATAATGAAGAGGTTCAGTTAAAGGTAATGCATACCTTCATTTATATCAGTATAATTTTTGTACTGAGTTCAATATGCAGTGTAAGATGATATTATACTGCAGAATCCTGTTGCACTGCGTGTTCTAAATTAGCAATTGCACTTGTCATTGTCCTTGTCCAACTTTGTCATAGTGAAAGTCACCCTTCAAAAGCATTTGTCTCTTTCTGTTATTTGAACACTACACATTCTGACCCAACTGACCATCATCAGGGGTACACATTGTAGAGGAAACTGCTGCCCTTTTGTCATACTGCTGCACTTCACATTTTAAATGTGTGAAATACTTATAAAATATTTTAAAATTGCTAGTGATAATTTAGAATACAGTGTAAGTTTTGAGGTTTCTATGTCACTGAAGATTGTGATAGTGGTCTTCTAGGTTCTGACACTGTTTTGGAGAAGCATACTGCCTCTATCTTCAGGGTTAAACCCTGAAGATTTGATTTATTTGCAGTAGATGTCTCTTTAGCATTGGTGCCCATCTACCACAGTACAACAAAGTGCCATAAGATGGCAGCATAATTGAATGAGTATTTGTGCATATGTTCTCTTTTTAGGCTTTCCAGGAGGAATTTGAGAAGAAGGAGAAGGAGATAGCAAGCTTGAACGAGAAATGCACAGAATTGGAGAGATTGCAAATTGGGCATGAGGATACTGAGGATACAGCTGCATTGATAAATGAAAAATGGCAAGATGTACGTGGACAGTTTCAGCATTTCCAGAAAGGTTCAAAAGAGAAGATCGTTCCTGACAGCAAAATGGTATGTAGATTCTAACAACGCAAACTGCATCAGAGCAGTAAAAATTTCTTTGTGTGAATGTCTCTGGGTGTAGGTATTAATAGATGCTTTGTCACCACCTCCACCATAAATTTTTAACATGAGCAGAATGGTTTTTATTTTAATTTTCCGAACTAGAGTGTTCGAGTTGGGTAAATTTTTGTTGTCATGGTGTTAAAAAAAGTTCAGATTTGGGAAAGTGCAAGTTTGAGTAAATTCTAGTGTTAGTTAGTTA